TTAAGGGGTTGGTCTCTCCCTAATTAAGTGGACCCTAATTGTTAGGTTTTCCACTTATTTTCCTGGATATTTTGATGCTCGGTATTGGCTCTGATGGGTGTTCCTGGTTTTAGGCTTTCTTCTGTTTCTCAAAGGATTTATCAGTTATGATACCAGAAACTTTCTCTTGCTTGCTTCATTTATCTTTGTGTAGTCTGCTCAATTCTTTGTTCACTACCATCAAGAGCCTGGACCCTGTCTCCATCTGCAGCACTTAAGACACAGGCCCCCTTCTTGAACACTGCAGACCCACCTGATACAAGCCCCCCATTCTCAGCCTACTAGGGACCCACCTTAGACATAACTCCTTGCTCTGAGCCACTGGGTTCCCACCTAAGGCACAAGCCCCTCATTTTGAACTACTGGGGACCCACCTAAAACATAAACCTCCATTCTAAGGTTCTAGGGACCACCTAGGACAGAGTCCCTCTGTGTCCTACAGTCTTCCCCTCTGTAAGTCAGGTGAGGATGATGGCTACTTCCTCTGAGGTTTTTGGGAAGACAGAGGAAAAAACACTGTAGGACTCTGGGCTTATGGCCACACACAATCAATGGCCACTCCTTGCCTCTGGGAACTAATGGCCTTGGAAAAGACCCAATTATATTTTTTCTAGAAGTGGATGGACTGCTCAGTTGTCATCAGTTTTCTTATTCCCCTTTGGGGGCAGATGTTATTTGTTGGGTAGCATCATTCGCTCTCTGAGCTTTGATAAGGCACTGGGAAATGGAGCTCTGTGTCCGGGATGGATGCACAGGAAACATGTGCCCATTTACAGGGGCAGAGCTGGAGTCCTGAAGATTGGGCTCCCAAGCAAGCCTGGGCCTGACAGTAGAGGTTAGAGAGTTGTCCCTTGCAGAGATACTGCCAGCTTGGATTCAGGTGGGGAGATAGAACTAAGGCAGGAACATTATGGAGGGTGTAGGCTGGTCCCTGTAAACGGTGTCTTGTTGGGGGTGGGTCAGAGCCGCAGTGAACATGAAATCTGACTCCAAACATGCTTTATTTTCACACACCTGTGTCAGGTGAAGTCAGAGATGGTTTTCTTCCTGCCTCTGCTCCCCATCCTGGTTTGGGCCCACAGGGGGCCCTTCTTTTGGGTTCCAGGATGCCCTCTTGAGCACAGCAGTGCTGACTGGGGCTACCCACTGTGGCAGGGAGCTGTCTTGGTCACATGGGCAATCTGGACCAACCTTGGGGCAAGGAGTTGGAAAACTGGCCAACAGCCTGTGACACAGGAAGGTGAGGTTCGATTCATCTCTTTTTCAGGATCCCTGGGGCCAGGTGACTCACTCCAGCCACAAGCTCCTCTCCTCTGCAGGAAATTTCGCAGGCATGGCTCTCATGTCTTCAGGCCCGCTGATCAGAGAGGGCCAAGTCTAACTTGGGGCAGCATGGGGCAGGGATGGGGAGGGGCGGCAGGGGAAATGGGGTGGGGTGTGGGCATTGGGAGTATGGGACAGGGCTAATGGAAAAGCATGGGTATCCTACTCTCTCAGGGACCCCTGGGATGCTCCCACAGGGGTGACACCAAGACCCAGATGGCAGGGGCCTGAGCATACCCGGGCTTCAACAGAAAGAAACCTGAAAGTCAGGAGGTGGCACAGGTGCCAAGGGCCTTCCATCAGAGCTTTGCACCTATGAGCAGGGCACTGACACCAGAGGTCAATCTGGTTAGAGATGAGGGCAGGCGACCAGGAGGACATGTGCAGAATGTGAGGTGGGACTGTTCCCCATACCTACCTTGTTCCCACCCACCTCCTGGACCACCCCTCACCCCCAACTTTCATCTTTTTCCCTTGTAAATGGGAAAGCAGTGTTGGTGAGAAAGAGTATGGAAAGGGAGTGGCAGGCTTTCTCAGGACTACCTGGAGCCCCTCAGGACCACTTGGAACAACTGGGGACCACCTGGGATGCCTCAAGAGCTATGTGAAATCCCTTGGGATCATCTCGAGCCTCTCAAGGACCAACTGGAGCCCCTGGGAAACACCTAGAACCGCCAAGGATCACCTGGGACCTCTTCGGACCACCTGGACTCACAGTTGGTAGCTGGTACACCCAGGGAGATCATCCAGTGGAATCATGTCTGCAGACACATTCCAAGCAGCTCCAGGACAGGAAGAGCCTTCCTTCCTCCCTGGATGCTCAACATGGTTTCTCAAAAGAACTTGGATTCCCAGGCCTCATCAGACCCATGAAGTAGAGAGGCTCCTTGGACAGTGATAAGGGTTTGAGTCCCCCAAGACCTGGGTTCTGGGGCTGAGGGTAAGTTGGGACTTTAGGGGGCTGATCTTGCCACCTCACTGTGCACAGTGGTGACCTGCTCTCCCCTAAGAGAGAGGTGGGTGGGCACAGCTGCAAGTCAAACCCACCTGCGTCCAAATGCCCCCTCTGCTAGTGTTCTGGGGCGAGGCAGCTCCTCTGGGTCTCATTGTGCCGATCTCTGCAATGGGACCAGACATCCTAGGAGGAACTGGCTCTGGGTCCCTGAGACCTGGGGACCTTGGGGAGTCAAGAGAGCACTAGGCCTTTACAACCTCAGGCATCCACCACCTCTCTCTGAGCCTTCATTTTCCCATCTGTAAAATGAGGATTCCAGACCTAAAGTGCTCAGGGGCCATACAAGGCTGCTGGTAGATAGTAACTGAGCACCTTCTATATGCCAGGCACTGTTGTAGGTGCTGCATCCTGATCTCAGAACTTCAGTCTAGACGGGGAGGTGTTAAACTAGAGGGCAAATACCCAAACACAAAGTAGAGAGACTGGGGCAAGGGCTCTCTGTGGAGATGGCACTGAGCAGTCTTGCAAAGTCCTGCAGAACAGTGAAAGAACAGCATGTACAAGGGCCTCAAGGTGGCAAGGAGAAAGTGTGTTCTGAAGGCCCACTAGCTGGAGCACATGGGGAGGGAGGCAGGAGAAAATGGGCTGGAAGTGTGTCGGGCCAGAGGCTACAGGGCATCATCCAATCTTCCAGTCCCGGAAATCCAAGGGGTTGGCCCCCCAGTACCTGGCACATAGGAGCTCTGCTAGCAGTGCCTGCTGCATGAAATGAATAGATAAAAAGTGGACGAGTGATTGCCACTGGGTCCCTAAGTTACTGTGTGATCTCGGGCAAGTGTATTTCCTTCCCTGGGCCTCAGTAGCACTACTGCTGTGGTGCTGTGTGGGGCATAATTCTTTTTAGTGGGTGGCTGGGCTAGGCAGCTGGGCCAGGCGCCTGGCTGCAGCAGGCCCACATGGAGGCTGGCTCCTTCCTCTTCCCAGGACTGTGGGGGACATGACCAGCATCCACTCTGGGCCAAGTGGGGATGTGTTTTCTCCAGGCAGAGCAGTCAGCAACCCCTCTGGAACCCATGACAGGGGCCTGGGCTCTGATCACCATGTAGGACCTTCTGCCAAAGAGTCCCCATTTTCCTACTCCTTCACTTTCTCCTTTCTTTTTATCTCTACTCTTGCCACTGTGGAAACCCTTCTGCTCAGATGCACTCCATACTCCATCCATAGCCCCTGGATCTGTTACCAGGGTGACTTGACTTACAGGCTGGGCAGGCAGCAGCCTCTGGGGGCACAGAAGGCCACTGCCTTAAGCCCTCACTCCTATGGATGCAGAATGAGTGAGAGCTGATGGGGTGGGCAGTCTGAGGAGCCCCCAGGATGGGAAGCTTTCTCCTCCCAGCTCTTCCTGTCCAGTGGTACCAGGAAAGGAGAGATGCCTTCAACCAGTGATCCCTGGGGAGACCCTAGGAAGGTCAGCCCACAAAAGGGTGCAGCACAGATCTCTGTGTGGCTGAAGCCCTCCTCCGATTCTCTGAACCTCAGCTTCCACTTCTGGAAAAAGTAGGGGCAGCCTGTGACCAAAATGAGCTCGGATCCTGGCTGTCCATGGGACCAGGCTCTTGGGCTGAGCATCCACCCTGGGGGCATGCTCTATCCCTGTTTTCCAGCTGCCCATTGTCTGTCCATACCAAGATTTCAAATTTTGCAAGATTTGCTAATATCTGTAAGGATATTTCATAAGAACACCTGAGTCTCTTGAAAAGCTGGAAGCTCCAGCCACACAGGTCCTGTCTATATGGAGACAGTTAGTGGGGGGTCCCCACATTGCCTTGGCTGCTGGCCTCTGGGTGCCTGTTGCAGGGGTCTGCATCAACACCTGTTGAGGATGTGGGGCCCTGTCTCCATCTCCACTCATTGCATCTATCCAGACCTGGGTCACTATGCCCTTCTGTCACCTTCAACTCCCACCTAACCACTAGCAGGCCAACCTTGGGGGACACTAAACTGAGGGTGTGCTCACCTGCTGCCTGCCAGCATTTATTTATGCAGATAAGCACTATCCTCCAGGCATTGCTCTCAGGCACCCATATGACACTGGGGTGGGCCTCCCACAGAGTTTCTCGATGAGGTTGTCCCTCCTGGTTGGTCCAGACCCACCACTTGCCCTGTTCTGTGAGTGGCTCCACACAGGGTGGTGGCTTCAAGGCAACGTGGTCTCAATGGTGTGCCTGGTAGCCAGGAGTGGGCAGAAGAGGAGGTGGAGTCTGGGGACTGGTCACAGCTCAGCTCACATGGTGTAGATGGTGTGGACATGCAGGCTGTGGCCTGGAGAGACCATCTGGCATGAATGCAGATGTCCATCAGGTGTCCCTGGGCAGCATTGCTGACATTCCTTCTGCCTTCAGAGCTCCCCACTACCAGACAGGGTTTACTTGACAGCTGCCCTGCAATCCTCTCTGAGCCACACTGCTGGGCCTGAGAGTGGAGGCTGGGCTCTACTCCGAGATGTGTCAGGAGTCCCAGGACAGGCGACCACCCTTCTCTGTGCCTCAGTTTCCTCCTACTGAAGCAGAGGGATCCTCCAGGGCCAAGTTTCCTGTGGCAGTTGGGGCACACTTCACCTTTGCACATGGCCTCTATGGCCACCTTCCAGGTGAGCACAGACCCTGCTGCTGAGGCTGCAGAGCTAGAGATATGGCCAAAACTTAGCTCCTGGGGCTGCTGAGGCCTGGAGCTTCAGGGCCCCTGGGCTAGCCTGGGCTGGGTTCCCATGGTGATTGTGCTCAGGGCCTCCAGCCACCAATGTTGCACCTTGGCGGATGGGAAACTTGGCCACAAGCACCGCTGGGCCTGCTGCGGCTGTCAAACATGCCCGGCGTCCGGCCTGCATGCCAGGTTCGGCGCTGTCACTGTGCAGTCAGAGAGGGGGATGGTGTATGGTGGCCCACTGTCCTGTAGCAAAGGAAAGGAGAGTCAGCACCCCAGCCTCTGGAGTCCTGGTGTCACCAAATAACACCATCCACAAGTGAGCAGCAGAAAAGTGATACTGGGCAGCCAGGAAACTGAGGCCCCAAGGTTACATGAGCCACCTGCAAGACTTGGTCCCAGGGAGCATGGTCTGGGCCCCCTGGGCAGATAGGCCTGAGGCTCTGGATTGCAGAAGCAGCAGACTCTCAGCACATCCCCAGTTCCAGGAGGTCCAATGTGGGAATGGTGGTTCAAACCTTATTCTAGGCCATGCCATCATCTGATACACACAGAGGGCCACAGAGCAGGCTGGGCTGGGGGTCCGTGGAGGCTGGCTTCTGGGGACACAGAGATTAGGTCAAGTGCAGTCTTCCTGTTGACATTGCTCTCATGGAGGGTGCCAAGGCTGCCTCCGGGGACTGAAGCAGGAAGGGAAGACAAATTGGACTAGGACATGAGTCAGCTGACCCTTCCTTGGGTCACCATAAGGACACTTGCATTAAGCTGTAGCCCCTAGGAAATGAAGCCACCAGTGGGATCAGGACAGGTATAAGGTAAAACAGGAAAAAATAAAACAGCAGGAGTCAGAGTACAACTCACCAGGAAAGCGCTGTGAGTCAGATGTTCAGACACAGGCTCACACACACATTCACATACACACTGTGGACTCTGAGAAAGAAGACAGCTACTAAGAAGGGATTCTGGTGGCTAACTGAACTCAAATTAAAAAAAAAAAAAAGGTTTAGCAGCCATTTCTGTACAGGGGGCTCTCTCACAAAAGCCTGCACTAAACTGCCTGCCTGCACTGCATTCCTGTCATCTGAGCCAGACCTTATAAAAGAGTTCCTAGAATCCTATTTCAACCAATAGGACTGAGGCTTTCCCCACCCAATCAGACCTGCACAGCTCTGACCAACCAGAGCAGCTCTATTCTCACCAATCAGGACAGTGCCTTCTGGACCGATCAAACTGCAAAGATTTGGAGTCCTCATTTACATGGGGACAGACCAATCAGGGACCAGGGGCAGGGGAGCTGGCTCTCTATATAAGCCAGCTCCCCTGTGGTTTGGGGACCCTGTCCTGCATTTTCCCTTTATATCCAGGACTAAAGCTGGCTGGGCTGAAATGCTGAAGCTGTCTCACAAGATCAGAGTGGAGCAGACCAGCACAGACCAGAATAGATTGGCACAGAGCAGAGCTCTCTAGCCAGGGGACTGGCGTATAGCCGTGCTGCATTCACAGCTGTGCTGTATCACAATTGAGCTGTTCTGCATTGAATAAAGTTTTATTCTTCACCACACCCCAAATTGGGGGTTTCTGTTATCATTAAATTGACACCAATGACCATTGGTTAACAACACACACATACTCAAATACACAGGTCCACATACAAAGACATGCACACACATACATACTCACACACACACATGCACACATACACATTCACACATACATACACACTCACATACACATACATGCACACACACTCACACACATGCATGCCCACTCACACTCACATATACACATACGCATACATGCATACTTATATACACACTTACATGCACATACACATTTGCCCGTGCACATCCATACACATTCATTCACACACATGCATACTTACACTCACACACACACCAACACACACGTGCCATACACCACGCATGCCCCTCCCCCTCTCTGACACATTCAGAGCAATCATGAACACAACTCCTGTGTCGTTTGGAAGCATCTCAGACACATCTGGCAGAGCTGGTCCCTGCTCAGACCTGGGTCTTCCAGACACTCAGTGTTGAAAGTGCAGGGCCATGAGAGGGGCTCCTCTGTTAATATCATTCTATATTTGGTTCTGTTATTTTTGCATTTGATCTCTGTGACAGACACTCAGGTAGGGCTCCAGCCACAGCTATGGCCTACTTGGACCTTCTCCTTGCAACATCGTGGGAGGGAAGCCAAACTTATAAACAGCTTCCCAGGAGACCCCAACATGAATCTGGCTTTAGAACCATGGACTATGTTACATGCAGAGAGTGGAAAAATGCATTTTTTGGGAAAGACACGTTTTCTCTTTTCCATTTTCTTGCCACTCCATATAATAGGGACTGTGCCTTTGAAAGAGGACCACAAAGGCAGTGGCTATCCTCAGGAAGGCAAGAGATAAGGAGGAAGCTGGTGCCATCTCTGCTCCTGGCCTCCAATGGCTTCCACAGGGCACAGGCAGCATCTCCCCACCAGGCCTCCAATCATGGTAACCATGAGTGAAGATGACACTTGTTCCCATCTGCTATGGCTGAATCGTGTGACCCCAAATCCGTGTTTTGCAGCTCTAACCCTCTGAGTGACTATATTTGGAAATGGGGCCTTTAAGGAGGTAAGTAAAAATGAGGTCACTAGGGTGGGTCCTAATCCAGTATGACTGGTGTCCTTATAAGGAGAGGAAAGAAGGGCGCGCACACACACACACACACACACAGAGGAACAACTGTGTGAGGACACAGGAAGAAGGTGGCTGTCTGCAAGTCATAGAGAGGCCTCAGGAAAAACCAATGATGTCCACACCTTGACCTTAGACTTTGAGCCCCCAGGATCATGACTCAATGGCAGGAACCCACAATTTGGGGTGTGGTGAAGAATAAAACTTTATTCTGCTTGTAGTACTTGCCACAGAGCCTGAACTAATACACCATCTAACTCCTGTGTGCAACTGACTTCCAAGCCTTTGGCTGTGACCAGACCCTGAGAAGCCCAACACACGTAGGCATGATATTAGGAATTACATTGTTGACTGCTCTGGAGACCTGTGGGCCCCACAGAGCCAATCAATCCTGGTCCTTGGGAAGCTAGCAGATCCAGGAGCACAGTCTGCCAAGGCTGCCAGAGTGGGTAACTCAGGTCTGGGAGCCTCCAGGGTACCCACCTCCATGCTCTGCTTGGGTTCGGCGGGCACCTCCGGGCTGGGGCTTGCAGTGGCCACTGGCTGTGTCAGGAAACACTCTCTGCAAACTCGGCTCTGCCTGCTATTCTCTGCCTTGAACTCAGAGCACTTCCCACAAATGACCTGCCAGAGAGAGGTCACCTGCCAGGTCACCTGTGACCCTACCTCCCAGGGACAAATGACTGTCCTGGAGAGGCTAGAAGGGTCACAAGGCCAGGAGAGAAGGAACACAGTGGGCAAAGGGGAAGGGCCTCACTGCAGGTAATGTGGGCCAGGAGCCTTGCTGGAGTGCAGAGACCCTGAGGCTGGAGGGTCCAGGGCCCAGGGGTCTGCATGAACAGAAAGAAGGCTGGGAAGAGGCACCAGGAATGAGATTGCCCAGGACCAGCCTCCTCCTGACCAGACTCACCACCCCACACGACTTGCAGTGGTGCCTCCTCTTGGTGATGGAGTTGAAGGTCTCGCCACAGCTCCTGCAGCCCTGTTTCTCCTTGTCACGCCTAGTCTTAGATGACCCTTTCCTGGGCTCGAGCTGTGGGGTCAAAAGGCAGAGGTCAGCTTCTCAGAACATGGGGGGTGGCTGTGTGATACATGGGCAGTACACACACAGGGCAAAAAAGCCAGATGTAGACCAGGGAGTGAAGCAGGAGTTCTGTAGGCCACTGTGTGCCTAGCCTTCTCCCCAGAGGCTACCCTGCTGTCACACAGAGTGAGACTCTAAGTATATCCAGAACTATATGCTTTGGACAACTGGCGCTACACAGAAGTCAATTACTTAACCTACTGTGTCTGAAAAGATAGCCATTGGAGCCCATGCTGGGAGAGATGGTGGCTGATCTGCCCAGGGACTCAGAGTCGGGGACTGGGATGTCCTCTCAGAGCATCTGGTCATGTAACTCTTGTTCCCACTCTCTGTCTTTTGTGGGTCCTGGAGCTTGAGACACACTCCTCACTGGGCACATGTGTTAGAGTGCTTTCCTAGGGCCAAGGAGCAAATTTCCAGCCTCCAGATCTGAGACAGAATAACTATCTGTGGTCTAGGTCACCTGGTCCGTGGTATTTTGTTACAGAAGCTTGAGCTGACTAATACTGAGATCTTGATGCAAATTCTGACCTGTACTTCCCAGCTGTGTGGGCTCCACTCATGAGCCCCCTACACCCTCACCCCAATCCCATGGGTCCCACCTTTGTGAGGCCTGCACCATTCTAGAAAGAGGAGCCCAGTTGCAAGCTGGCTCCTCTCAGGGTGAGGGAGATGTTTGCTTTGCCCAAGGCCCCAGCTTCTCCTCTGTGCCATGAACCCCTGCCCCCATAGACACTGGGTATAAGAGAGCTCCTCTCAATTTATCCCACAGAGAACCTGCCAAGAGGAGAATGGGCATCACAGACACCATAAGCCATGTGTTCTCTCTGAGGCCACCTCTGGCCTCGGCCACCAGCCACACTGAAACCCACTTGGACCTCCTTCTTTGGAGACCATCTCTCAGGATTGCTGAGGGCCAGATATGAGGAGAGAGGAAGAGGAAGGGTGTGGGGCCCACGGAAGGAAAAAAGAGGAGAAAAAAGGCCATCTAGGGGTCTGCCATGGCTAGGTAACCCATGTCCTTCACTGATATACAGGGCAAATCTACTGTCCCTGTTTTCCAGGTGAGAACATGGAGGGCCAGGAGAAAGGAGTGGTTGGCAGTAGGGTGGCTAGACCTACTATCTTGCCTGTAAGCCCAGACATGAGCCTCAGTCCAAAGGCATAACCATAGCTCTCGGGCCACTATGGGCAGCACTGCATGGCAGCTGAGAACACAGGGAGGCCAAGGGGGCTAACAGGGTGTCCCCAAGGGATGAAATGTAGGGCCAACCCACATGGGATGGAGGAGAAGCAGTTGTGGGGCTGAGGTGTGCAGCCAGAAGCGTGGCCCCTGATGGCCAGCAGGGACACCATCCTGGCTGGAGGGACAGAAAGCAGTTTCCAGAGTAGGGTGGCTTGAGGGAGGGGTTTGGAGGAGTATTCCACCCACTATCCTTTGTCAGGCAACTCTTCCCACCAACCAGCGCAGCAGCTGAGTTGAGTGAGGTGCTCAGACGGGGTCTTGGCTGGGTGTCAGCTTCCTTGGTGCTGTGCACCGTGGCCCACCATCAAAGACCCTTGAGGCAATTCCTGAAGATAGTTTTGACACTGCAGTCTGGTAGGATTGGCAGACGGCTGATGACTAAGTGGCTAAAGGTCAGGGAGCCCACCAGCATCTCAGGCACAGGTCTTTCTGGTCAATCCTCCTTTCTTTTTGAGCGAGGATATCCGACAGGTTGCTCAAAGGGAGCAGCTCATATTTTCTGTTTGGATGTCAACATAGGGAGAGGCCTGGACCAAGTCTTCTCTGGGAGGTGCAGCACTAGCTTCTGTGGTCACAGCCTAGTGAGTCCACCCAGAGCATCCTGAGTGTGCCAGTATGGATCTGTTTCACTCAGCATTTTCTCTTCAGTAAATTTGGTTACACAGCAGGGAAGTAGGAGTCACATTCAGTAAGAATTAGATCTCAAAGAGAAACCTTGAAAACCAGCACTGAGGATGGAGTCACACAGCTATCCTCTGGTCCCAGGTGCGGACACAGGCTTTGGTCTCAGGCCCGGCCCTCTGCCCCTGCAGACAGCTCTATCCAGGAGCCCTGTAGATAGGTGAGGGGTAGAGGGCAGTGCAAGCTTTGTGCACACTGAGGTTATTCAAGGAGCTTGTGGTGGGAGCTCACTCAGCTCCAGGGAGAGGTCCCTGTGTCACCGTGGTGGGTCTGGGCCTAGGGGGAAAGGCGGAAGGAGTATTGCATTGTGATGTTTCTATGCTTCTGCAGAGAGTGACACAACTAGAAGAGTGGGAAGACTCTGGGTTGTGCAAGACCATCTTGCAGAACTTCCTGAGTAGTGTTCAGCCTCTCTTAGGAGAGAAGGGTTTATGGGGACTGCGTCTGAGAATACCAGGAAATCAGAGTAGCATCCCATGAATGGGATCACTTTTCCTCTCCAAATATGCTAAGAAAAAGCTTATGTCTGACACATTGTATCAAAGATCACTCATTTTGGTGTCAGAATTAAAACCCACTTTTGGGTACCTTCCACAAATGTCCACTGAGCACATCTGAGTCTTTTTCCGCAAGGCCAGAGGTTTACGTACACAGTTGCCCTGGGTCCACCAAAATCTCTGCTCACAGGAGACACCAATGAGAAAACTTGGCCAGACCACATGAACCAGGCCCCAAGTAGATTGCCTGTTGCTGTTTGTTTGTATTGGGGGCCAGCCCAGGATTGGGGGTGGGTAGAAGGCCAGGGATAAGGACTGAACTTGAATTGTGACCTTGAGCATCCAGCAAGTCAGGGATGCTTCAGATTCTTTGGAAGGCTAAGCTCCAGGGCAGGAGAAGGCAGAGGGGGTCTGTGCATCTACCTGGACAAGTATAGCCATTACCACCCAGCAGCTCTGCTGATCAAAGTGTGTCCTGGGCAGACCCCCAAACTTCTCACCTATCAAAGGAGTTGGGTGATCAATTGGAGGGGCACCAGTGTGACTGGAAGGTATCTGAACTGCTTCTCATGTTCCTACCCAGGGAAAGGCATGGTTGAGGGGGTGGTGGGGGGAGAGACACTTGCTGAGACCCTACTCTATGGGGTAAAACATTTAAAACATACCCTGGCTCATGTGGTTCAGTGGAATGAGTGCCTGCCTGTGAACCAAAAGTTCACCAGTTAGAATCCAGGTGCAGGCACATGCCTGGGTTTGATTCCAGGTGGGGAGACATGCCTGAGCTGCAGGCCAGGTCCCTGGCTGGGGGCATGGGCATGTGAAAGGTAAGTGATTGCTGTTTCTCTCCCTCTCTTCCCCTCTCTCTATAAAAATCTTTAAAAAAAATTTTTAAACATGGCCTTCAGTTCCCTTTGAATAGCTGAGAAGGCCTCACCTGCCCCACCTACCAACCCCACTTCGTGATCCTGTCTCCTTGTCTTGGGGTCAAGTCCTCTCCAGCCTTGTTTCCCTGACAATGGGCCCGCAGGTTCCACCCTGAATTCAGGACTCAAGCCTGTCTCCAGCTGCCTGTGGACTCACCCTGGGAAGTGCACCCAACAAAGAACAGGGTCACACAATTGCAAGATGGTAGAGGGCCTTACATGGGATCCAGCTCAGCTCCCCAGCCAAGTTGCCCGGTGTGGGAGGCAGCACTTTGTGCAGGAGATTGTCATGGAGGTTGTCAGAGATGCCTGCCTTGCTAAAGGCAAAGGTGCAGATCACAGAGTGCCTCACACACCTACATGTGAGGTGCAGAGGTCCCACCTGTTGTTTCCTCCTTTGCTCCAGGCAGTTACATGTTTGATGCTTGGGTGTGTGAGTTGCTTTTCATGATGTTCCTAGCTGTTCCGAAAAGGAGCCTGGCCATGTTTTCCCTGCCTGCACTATACTGCCCAGGCGACAGGAAGGTGAGCAGGCTCAGGATAGGGGTCTTAGTTAGGCACAAATGCCTCCCTGGACCCATCCTCCTGGGCCAGCACTGAGAGCCTCCCTCCATCCTCCAAGACCTAACTGACTGATCAGATGCTGCCTCCAAGAAGCCTTCCCTGATAGTACACCTGCGGGCCCTCCTGATGGGTCCTCTGCCTGCCTGCCTGAATCCCTAGTCCATGGGGCCTTTTAAGGCTGGGCACTGCCTTAGTTTGCATCTGTTCAGCCTATTTCACACGAGGAGAAGAGCTCAGGTATCCAGAGCTCAGCTGGGACTTCTACCTACCCAAGGACACCGACATTCAGGGCCCACTGTGTTCCCCCCAGCCAAGGACACCCTGATCTGACCTCACCCTCCAGGCTACCCTAGTCTGACCCAATCCTCTGCCTCCTGCTTCTGCTGGTGAGTCACTTACCCCTGCAGTACTCCCTCTACTGTCAGCCTCCACCACAGCCTCCTCAGAGCTGGCACTCGCCATCTGAAAGGGACAGAGACAGCTGGCATGAGTAGAGGTTCCATGGCCACATGCTAAAGTCCAATGCAGTGTTGGGATGACCCCTGCTCTCAATCTGATTATCACAGCCCCACAGGGAGGCAGCCCCAGTTCTAGCTCTGCCTTCTGGCATCCTGTGGGTAGCTCTGCATCTGCCCTCTACTGCCAGGCTTGACCTCTGTGCTAACTTTAATGGCTGGCGTAGGGGGTGGTTTGCTTCCAGGTCATCTCTGTTCAAGACAGGGGACAGTACATTCCCTGTCTAGGAGTGATACAGTTTTCTTTCAAAATAGTCCAGAAAGCAGAAAAAAAAGGAAGTAGATTGATATAAATATTAAGTAGATAAAAAAGGGCCTGCATGCTGAGATGCAGTTTGGCCATAGAAAAGTCCAACCAGGCCTGACATCTGGGTCTCGGGCTGCTGGGCCAGGCTGGACTGGGCATCTGCCACCATCAGGGACACGATTGATGGGGAGCATGGAATGAGGTAGCCTCACTCTGAAGCCCAGACAGAGGAAGTGCCCAAGGCCCCAGGTTGCCCCCAAGAGACAAGGGATGGCTGCAACCCCGACTCCCCACTACCCCCAACCCCAAGTGGCTTTGCATGGAGACCAGTGAACTGCCCTACTGATAAGATTACAATGCCCAGGTTCACATGAGACAAAGAACCTCCTCGTTCGGCAGCTTCACCCAGGCCTATCCTTCCTTCCTGAGCCTGAGTAACACCTGGTCTCAAGGCACAGTGGTCCCCATGTGGGTAGTCAGTAGAGAGTGGGCAAAGAGCATCCATTACCTCTCTGCTAGCCCCCTGGTCCTGGGCATAAGGATAACTTGGCATGAGAGGGCAGCTTCCCTCCTCGACACCAGCCCTTGTATAACAGGTCTGGGAAGCTGTGGTGGGCACTGGCTCCCTGCAGCCACAAGCCCATCTAGGTGAGATTCATGAAGTAGGCAGAAGATCCCTCCCACAGCCCCCAGGGATCTGATGCTCACAGGTGGGTCTGGAGGGAGGGAGGGGTCCTCCTCCAGGCTGAAGGAGCAGCTGAAGGCCTTGAAGGTCTGGCTGTTATGTTTGTGCTTCTCGATGGTGGCCTCAATGACCTGAAATCAGACCACAGAGAACAAAGGCCCTCAGTGTATGTGCACTTAAGGGAAAACCCACATAGTGCCTCTGTCCCTGAGGATGGGGTCCTGTAGTCACCATGGTTCCCCTGACCTTGCACATTGGCAAGAGCCCCCTCTAAGATGAGGGAATATATAAGACCGAGGGACATGACCAATGGCCAAGCAGGTCCCCACACCCCATCTCACAGGTCCCAGTGCCACACCACAAGTGGCCGGGTTCCCTCTCATTATGCTCTAGGCCATGGGTTGATGCTTTCTGGGAATGTTCTGTGTGGATTTGAGGCCATGTTTCTATTTCCTACATCAGCATTTCCACCTGATCTCTGAATTTCTTTTTTCTTCTCCACCAGATATCTGTTCCATGCATTTTGGAAGCCACAGTCTCTAACAGTGTTTGACCTGACCATGGCCACTCTGGGCTCCCTGTGGCTCTATCGCAGCCCTGCTGACCTTTGCCCTCACAGGCTTGTCTGTACCCTGCATCCCCACCATGGCCAGTCCTGAGCAAGTCTGCTGTCCCAGGACACTTCCCTCCTCTCTGCCCAGCCTGTCCCTGAAAGCACAGGCTCTATCCTGTAAGTCACACTGCTCATCCTGCTCGACCTGCTGGCCATGGAGAGAAGACAACATGGGCTCCCTCTGGAACTACATGATAGCAGAGATCCAACCCCAGGGTGAGGGCACCTCCTTGCTTGCCCACTTCCAGGTCCTTTATATTTATTTATTTACTGGGGATCCCAACAAGCAAATGGCTTGAGAGGTTCACAGTCTTAAAAATCTTAAAATTTTTAAAATCTTAAAAATCTTAAAAAATCTTAAAGGTGCTTATAAACTTGTATGTTTCATCATTTCAAGGCAGACAGATAGGTAGGGCAATGTCTGGAGATCATGGCGCTATTCAATGCCTTGTTCCAACAGGAAATGGCTATACTACTCAAGCATTTGATGGCTTCATTACTTTAAAACTTTAGGAGCTTCACCTGAATCCATTCTTTCTTCTCCTCTTCTGTCCTATGAACAACAGAAAGAATATTTTATTAATTCAGTCTTGCATACTGACTATAAACCACCAGACTCCTCTTAGCCCTGCAGCACATGCCTGAACTGCTCACTGTGTCGAAATACAGTTCAAGGCTCAGTAGATTGGCCCTGAAGGTCTCCAGAACACTGTGGTCAGATGGAATCAGAGGCAGCCAGCTGGGGTCAGGTGTGTCCTGGTGGAGTCATGTGTGTCCAGGTGGAGTCGCTTGTGGCCAGGTGTGACCAGATGGAATCAGGTGTAGACAGGTGAAGTCAGTGGGGCCAGGTAGGATCCAATGTGTTCAGGTTTATCCCTGTGACTCTTGTGTCCAGATAGGATCAGGTGTGGCCAGGCATGGCCAAGTGGAGTCTGGTATGTCTGTCCAGGTATGTCCAGATAGTCAGGTTTAGCCATGTGGGGTCAGGTATAGTCAGAGAAGGTCAGATATGGCCAACTGGGGTCAATGTGACCTGATGGAGTTAGATATAGCCGCATGGGGCCAAATGGGGTCAAGTGTGGCCAGATGGGGACAGGTATGTCTAGATGTAGGCAGGCGTGGTATGAAGAGCCCTCTTATGTGGATGTAAATCAATGCTTCCCTGAGCCACAAGGTTATTACAAAGGTCCTTGGTGGAATTTAGAGGAGGGATCTCTCACATGTTGCTAATAGTCAATGGGCAAGGCTGGCACCACCTTACAGGGTATTTTGACAATAGCTATGAAAACTTAAAGCAGACGTGCTACCCTATAGCCAGCAATTCTATTTCAGGAGTCCATTTGACAGATAGAATGCACATATGCACAAAACTTGGTGTGAAGATGCAACAGGAAGACCCCAGAGGAGCCTAGGTGCATGTCAGTGGGAACTGATCAATGACCATAATGAAGAATAACACTACTTTAGGAAATGGAGTTCAGATTAAGATGACTTCTGATGAATTAAGTGAAAAAAGCTAGATGCAGAGCAGGCTATACAGTGAATAGCCATCTCTTATTTTACAAACAGACACATACATATGAGCACAGAACTTTTAGAAGGATATTTTAGAGGGATATTTAGAAGGATATTTAGAAGGGTGGTTAAGAATGTCCACTGTGGGGAGAAAGAGGTAGGCAGAGACAACTTTCATTGACTTCCCCTTATTCTGTCACATTTTAAACCAAAAATAAGTGAATACAATGAATAAATAAAAACACATAGCAAGGTTATCCAGTTTAGAAAAAGAAGACATCTGCTAAAATTCCAGGTCAAAGATATTCAATTCACACAGCAGCAGACACGAATACAGCTGAGCCTACCGGGTCTGCAGCTCCAGGGACCTTTTCCTTCCTGTTATGATGAATGTATGAGCTGAGTGTGGCTTGCTGATATCCCGAACCTAAAGGCACATGATGAAGGACAAAACAAAACAGCCAGTCACTTAGCAGGCCCTGAGCTGTGTGGCCTCACATTCAGACATGGAGGTCTTTTCTGAGAAGGGAGAAGAGATATTTCAGTGCATCTGCAGGGAAGGTGCCTGGCTCAAGGTCATGATTAAGGGACAGCTGTTTCATAAGCAAGTCTGTGAGGGAGGGTGGACTATCCTATGAAGGAGCAGCTAGGACTTCTCATCTGCCAAACCTGCTTGCCAGTTAGGATTCCTGTGAGGTAAGCAGCCAGCCCCTGGACAAGCTGAGCATTTCCCCACCAAGGAACCCAAACGCATGACACCTGACAGAGAGATGGAACTCTTAGGAGAAGGGCAGGGATGATCTCCACAGCTCTGCAGGAAAACCTGAGCTCCATGGCTAGATATGGCCCTTAGGCAGTGGCCATCAGAATCAGCACCTATATGTGAGGTATATGGGCCTCGCCTGCTCAGGATTTTCAATGGGGCCTCACAGCAGAACTTTCCCAAACAGCCCAAAGCTAGGAACCTCTGCTTTAACACACCAAGTTAATTATACACACTGATTTTTTTTTTTAAATTGAGAAACACTAGAAAAGTATTCTTTTAACTATGGGAACAAACCTAGTTTTTCTCTAGTTAGTCATTACTTTTAATGGTATTTCTTAAACATGGATTCAAAGAATTTCAAGGTAAGAAGGGATTTTTTTTTTTCTTATCACGAAGGCAAACTTTCACTTTTGAGAACTATTTAAATAGTTTGATTTAGCCAGTATATTTTTGAGCACCTATTAACTCACAGCCTTTCCCCAGAGGAAATGGGACTGATTCTACCTCCCAGAGCCCCCATGCCAGAAGACATTGACAGGCTTGGGGAACTGGGACAGCAAGGACAATGGGTTATCTGGACCTCAGGCTCAGGCACCTGTAGAAACTTGTTTGGACACAGAGATGGTGTGGGAAAGGGGAGAGCGTGGACAGGGATCAGGCATTCACCCCAAGCTTCACCTTTACATCTATAAATGGGGTCCTTAGTGCTGACCTCACAGGGAACAGGGGTCAGCCAAGGTCCTAGTGCCATCCTTCACCATGTGAGCACGAGGCCCGCAGTGCACTGGCAGATGGGCAAAGTAGAGGGACAGAGGATCCTGCCCACCCAGCCCAGGATACCAAGCCAAGGCACCCCCAGAGACAGTCCAGCCATGCCTGGATCACACTATAGAGCAGAGGCTTAGAGGAATGGGCCAGTGGCCAGGTGTACAGTGAGGGCCAGAGCCTGCATCCCCATCCCTGCTTTGTGCCTTCCCAGGGAAGTAGGGGGGAAGGGAGGGGCTCACCCACCTGGAGATCTGAAATGTCCATCTTCTCCCGGACACTGAACTTCTGGCCCATGAGCCACAGTTTGGGCACACAGTAAAGGATCATGCTGTTGAACTTTGACAGGGAAGGCAGGATAAGGGGCAAGTAGGCTGCCAGGCAACCCTATAGAGAAGGCCTCCGAGGGAGGAAATGTGTGGTGGCTCTGGGGCTGGGCAGGGGTGGAGTTAGGCAGGGCTGAATGTGGCCTGATGGGGGTGAGGGGGTGGGGTTCACCAGGAAGAGGTGGCGGTCCTGGGCTGTGCCATTCTTGGCTGACAGCTTCTGGATGTGGCCCTCCTTGATCAGCTCATTGGCGGGGTTGACAATGTCCTCTTCCCCACCCAGTTGCTCGTACACTTCCAAGAGCTTATGCATTTTCTCCTGCAAGAGACACGGGGCTCAGACAGTTGTGTGGCCACAGAGACGGGAGACCTATAGGGCTGCTGGGGACCAGAGGTGAGCAGAGCCCCACCACACAAGCATGGTCCAGAACCAAGATGGGACAATGAGACTACTGATGGGGTAGGAGCGGAAGCATGGGGTAACTAACACTTAAGTTGAGCACTGAAGGATGACTATAAGTTCACAGTGCACAGAACAAAAAACGATAACAACAGCAAACGCTGCTGCCATGTGCCAGGAAGTGTTCCACACACTATATAGGTATTAGCTCATTTAATTCTAGCACTGACTCTCTTAGGTGGGTGCCATTATTATCTCCAACTTACAGACAAGGAAACTGGGGGGACAGAGAAGTCAGCTGACATGTTGGAGCTGTTTCAGCTGCAGAACTGGGACTGTTCTCTCAGCCTTTGCACTGCATGCGAGCTCCTTCTATGAGGCTTCAGTGGAAGCCTTCAGAGAGACATGTCGGGAAGCTGCACCTTTTACCTCAAACAGTCCTTCCTCCTCTGGTAGCCTTGCCTTGTCTTTCTTCCTGCTTCACCAGGCCAATCATGAGATCAGACCTTTGCCAATCTGCAGCTTATCTCCCTCTGGCCTCACAACTGGTTGGGAGGTCACATGACCCACCAGTGCCCCTGGAGTGTGATGGGAGATAGTCAGCAGCTATGGTCCCAGCTCTGAGCCAAGAGGTCGTGGGCCCAGACTTGTCACTGCTGCCACCTTGCACCTGAGCCAGGAGGAAATGAGTGAACATAGCCGAGGCTGAGCTGCGCCTGCAGGAACCCTGACCCAGTGATACAGAACATTGACCCACCATGCTGCAGCAGCTACTACCATTGGATCTGACCGATCTCAGCCTGCACTCTTCAGAGGCAGGCTGGTTTGGCTGGCTCTTGTGCTTTTGGCACAGAAACAGATGGTGCATGCGGGTGTGGGGGGCGGGGCAGGAGGGGAGCCGGCATTGAAAATGAAGAGCACCAGGAGGGCAGGCCTAAGGGCCTTGTATGCACTGGAGGGCTTGGAGAGCACCTGGTATGCACTAGGGGTCTGGGTATACGCCTGGTGTGTACTGGGGTCCTGGGCATACAGTTGGTATGTACTGGGTAGGGTGGGCGTGCAACTAGTATTTACTTAGGGGGCTGGGTGTGCATTTGGTGTGTAGTGGGTAGGGGCTGTGTACCCAGCATTTACTTCAGAGTCTGGGAGTGTACCTGGTGTGTACTGGGGCAGGGGGGTGAGACATTCACCTGGTAAGTACTGGGTGGGCTGGGGTATGCATCTGGTATGTCTTGGGTGGGCTGGTGTGCATCTGGCATGTGGTGAAGGCTGGGCATACCCATGGTATATACTGGGGGCTGGGCATTCACCTGGTGTGTAGGAGAGGTGGTTTGTACTTGGGAGGCAGTTGCAGTCCGGGAGGGTTCTGAACAAAGAATGACAAGATAGGTGCCCCTTAGAAATCTCTAAGGTGAAGGAGGATGGATCAGAGGCCAAGGAGATTGGTGGCTTGGGGAGGCTTGGGGAGGGTTGGGGAGGTTTCTAGAGGCTGAGATTTAGGGTAAGTGGGAATGGATGAAAGCATGAAGAGGCACCAGTGGGCACACACTTATAATTCCCTAGGGCCATCCCATGGGTTTTCATGGGGGCCTCCCACCAGAGCCTCCCATCTGTGCACACATAAGGGGCAGAGGCCTCACTGGACTTGGGGAGAGAACCACCATGCAGCAGTCATGCTACAAGCGGAATGGGAGTCCAACTGAATGGGAGGCCCCAGATCTTGTCCATCCCCTCAGAGATATTGGCCTATGGAAGCTTCTCCACATGTCCACAGTCTCTGGGCTCATGACCATGGAATTCTGCAAAGCAGCTTTCCCTCCTTCATTAGATTTAGTCTTGGGTAGGAAAAAGGAGGGGAATTGGATTTTTAAAAAAAACAGAGCAAAATGTAGCCTGTTTAGGGTTGCCATGGGTGCTCTACAGTGGGCCTGACCTTGGGCCAACCTGGTCCAGGGGCCCCAGACCCAGACCTGGGGACAGATAGGTAACGAGGATGCTGGAAGTAGACCACATGTAACAAAGAGTTGTCCCAAAACAAGCCACCCACTTCTCAATTCTCACTTTTGAGAAATGTGGGATTTAAAAAAATTTTTTTTCACTTTCTTTTCCCCCCCAAAAACAACAGTGCCCTACAGAATAATATTGAATGTAAACTGTAATTGGAAAAACAAAACAAAACAGTGCCTGTATGAAGGTAAACAGGTCTCAGGACTGGGAGATAGACACCATATCTGGGTGGGAACTGTGGTGGCCTGGAGAGCTGGGCCGTGTGCAGGCCAAAAAGGGAATCAGAGCCACCTGAGAGTCACAGGGTATTGGCATGGGTTCAAAGAGGTCTCCTTACCCACAACTGCATTAAATGGAGATGTTAGATCAACAAGGAAACATGTCTCCTCCACCTTTGGGCTGTATTTGGAGGTAAAGTCTTTGGAGGTGATTAAGTTTATGTAAGGTCACAGTCCTGAGAGCAGATCCCAATGATGGGTTTAGAGCATGATAAGAAGAGACCTAAAAAGCTTTGTTGCTCTCTCTGCCATGTGAGGACACAGTGAGAAGGCAGCTGCCTGCAAACCAGGACTGAATCTGCTGGCACCTTGGTCTGGGACTCCTAGCCTCCAGATCTGTCAGAATACACATGTGTTGTTTAAGTTGCCCTGTCTGTGGGATTTTGTTATAGACAACTGAGCTGACTGAAACAGCTTGAATGAATGAATAAATGGATATTAATGGGAACCCTGAGAGCTGATATTGTGCCCAGTCCTGTTCTATTTTATGTAGAGTGATTTACTCCCCACGACAGCCCAATGAGACAGGTTCTGTCGGTAACTGTGTTTTATAGATGGGGAAACGGAGGCACAGAGTGCTAAATAATACACCAACAATCATTGAGCTAGTACAAGGTAGGCCTATCTAGTTCTCAACAGAGGCCCTGTCTGTCCCGTGGGACATGTGGGCGCATGTGCACGCCGATGGAGCCCACCTGGGGACAGGTGCAAGTGTGTGTGTGTTTGTATGTGAGTGTGTATGTTTGTATATGTGTGTACATGTTGATAAAGCCCACCTGGGGACAGGTGGGGGTTGTGTGCACGCGGACGAAGCCTACGTGGGAACAGGTGTGTGTGCACACCAGTGGTGCCTGGCCCACCCCACACTCTTCCTTCATCACACTGTGGGTCCCTCAGACATCCTCCAGGAGTCACCTCCCCACTAACCATTTTCCGAATGGCAGCATTGGAGTGGTTGGCGGCAGTGGAGATAAGCTCCAAGGACCCTGCAGGAGGAATATTTGAAGTTAGCTACAAGGGGCCTGGTGGTTGCACACACATCCTGGACCTGTAAGGCTAAGAGTTAGGTTCTGCCCTACCTTCCCATTTCCTGGGGTGTTGGGTCTTCTCAAGAGTCCTGGCTAGTTGGGAAGGAGGGATGTGACCCTGAGGCCTGGTGGAGGGCTAGCACCTCATTCCATGGGTAGTCCCTGCCCTGTACAGTGTACCCATCATTATCCTTGGGCCAGTGAGGTCCTTCCCCTGCCACCCAGTGAGGTCCTTCCTGAGGCCTAAGCATTGCCAACATTTAATAGCTTTTCCCCAGAACCTGTGTCTGCCCCTCACACTGCAGTGGGAGCAGGTGCACTTTTCTCTGCCTCAGAGACCCTCGGTCACTTTCCAAAATGTGCTTAGGGGACACTTGGAGCTCTCTCCCTCTCTCTCTGTCTCTGTCTCTCACTGACACTGTGTGTCTCTGTCTCTTTGTTTCTGTCTATATTTTTCTGTATCTTTCCATCTCAGTGTCTCTCTGTCACTGTCTCTCTGTGTATCTCTCTGACTCAGTCTCTCTCTGTTTCTGTCTCTCTGTCTCTCTCTTTATATAGGTTTTTGACAGGTGCCCCTGCTCCCACTTCTTAGAAGCCTGATGGCCCAGATGCCGCTCTGCTCACTCTCTGCATCCCTCCGGTCTGGGGCGTCAGCTGGGAGTCGCTTCACATAGTCCTTGAGCAGCAGTTCATAGCGGGGGACCCTCTGTACAGGCTCCAGCATGTGGTGCTGCAGTGTCAGATTCCCGCATACCTCCTGCTTCTGTGGGGAAGACAGACAGTGTGGGTCAACAGAGGGCAAACGTGTGAACCCCGGGCTCCACTCTTACTTCAAACCACCACAGCACCCAGGAGGCTGCCCAGAGCATCTGCACCTGCTGACTACAGACCACATATCGTAGCAGGGGGAACTGTGCTTGGAGAGGCTGAGCAATGGAGCAAGGACAGGGACCCCAGGTGGTCTACTGTAGACCCAGTGCTGGCTCTTTTATATACATCCTTGGCGAAGAAACTAAATGCTTAGACAAAGACCACTTCCTTCCCTTACGAGAGACTTCCTCACTCACTTTCACCCAGGGGCCTCAATTGTACCTCTTCCCCACACTGGGAAGTCAGGAGCTTCCCCAATCCTCCCTACAGGAAATCCCTAGGGACCATGCCTAGACACTGCTCTAGTGCCATCTATTCCTCTCCTATGAACATGACAGTAAGTGTAGGGTGGGGTAGCAGGCTGAGACCCTTCTGGCACCCCCTTCCTATACCACTCCCAGGTTCCCACCCTCTTTCTTAAACATAACTCTCCTTCTGGCCCTTCAGAACCTCTTCCAGACCCAATTGGGAACCTATGCCCCAGACTACATAGACTGAATGCTGTCACCTGCCACCTCTGTGCTTACCCACCAGGGCCCCTGCCTGTGCTTCTCTCCCTTCCTCCCCTGGCAAATGCCCAAGCACTCATGTCTTGGTTGATGGGCCTGCCAGCCTCTTAGAGAATCCACGCCACCCCTGTGTCCACCTGTGGTGTCACTGCAGTCATCCAGGTTGTCACACAGGCCACCTTTACCCCCTCACCACCTGTCACCCTTGTCCAGCTCAGGGCCCAGAACAAAATGGCTTCCAGCTGAAATGAGTTCAGAATGCCTTAGACATAGCAGGGCTGGAAGAGCACTAGTCTGCAGACACCATAGAAACAGTCATTTCAGGCAAGACATATCTAGGAGAATGAGGAACAGGGCATTATACCATCTCTAAGCATCTCCCTACAAGAAATGTGTTAATAGGGAAAAAAGTGCCTTCACCATGGAAAGGTCTGGCAGACATGCCCCAAATCAAATGAGCATCCCTCAGAAGTGGGACAGTTGGAACCATAGCGTCTCATTAGGTTGGGGCACTGTGTGAATGTGAGGTTTGCAACTGCTACATCGAGGAGGAGCAAGTCCACAGAATATGCCCTCCTTCCTTCTGGAGTCTAAACAGTTGTTGCTGGCTGGTGAATGGGAAACTACACCAAACAACACCTGATTTTGTCTCTCTTCATCCTCAAAATAACTGAATCAGATACCAATCTCCCAATGCAAATTACGCAGTTCTCAACTTCCTCAATTATAGTTTATTATTATTATTATTATTATTATGAAGAAGGAGGAGGAGGAGGAGGAGAAGGAGAAGGAGGAGAAAGAGAAGGAGGAGAAGGAGAAGGAGAGATGCAGGAGGAAAAAAGAAAAATAACAAACATAGGCATCTGGGCTGAGAAGGATAGCAGGGCCACAGAGAGTTTGGATCTATAAGGCCCTGGGAGTGGGCCCACAGTCCCCCCTGAAAATCACAATGCCTCTCCAAGGGCAGCAGTCAACCTCCCAGTAACCTTTAACAAAACCACACAAATACATACTGCCTGGGAAAGGAGATGGTGCTGTAATTTATGCCCCAGGAAATGGAGATTTGTTTGTCATCTGTCGGCTTTGACAGGAGTGCAGAACCATGGCACTCACACTAGCCTAAACCTTCATCCTTAGGATGCCTTGCATGGACCAACCCTAATTAGCCCTGTCACTGGGTGACCAGCCACCACAGATGGGCAGCATGAGCCTCTGGCCTCCAGTCACTCAGGGATGTGGGTTAGCCAAAAGCACAACTTACGGAGGCTGGAGGAAACTATTTTGTGAGGAGAGCTGGCAGTATCCAGATACAAATGAGGGGGTGAGGGGTCAGTGGGTGTGAGTAGAAGGGAGAAGGAAGAATTCAGTATCAGAGCTTTCCTCTCTGGGGAGGGACAGGAATGCTGAGGACATGGAGGGGCTATGACTCCACACTAGGAAATCATGGCTGACCTGATGACAGAGTCTGAGAAAATGCAGAAGGCTATAGAGAGGCCATGCCAAACTTACTTCTGTTCTCTAAACCCTCGGCACAGAGGGTCTCTGTACCAATTAACCTTCCAGGATACATTGAGGAGTGTGTGTGCGTGTGTGTGTGTGTGCGTGTGCGCACACGCTAGTGACACTGAAACAAGTGACTAACTTCACAAAAATGAAACTAGATTCTTACCTCATACCACAATTACCTGCAAACTATTCTGGGAAAGCATTTTTAATTTTTTAAATGAAATCATATGTTGGAAATAAACATAATTTATGTAACTTTGGGGGTGAGAAATAAATTTATTTTTTAAAGCATTATTTAAAAATTGGCAAATTTGGCTAATTAAAAACCAAAAATTTTGTATATAAAAAACAACATCCTAAATAAAATTAAAAATAAAAAGTCAATGAGAAAAAATTATTTGTAACACATATGACAGATAACAGCTAACATTCTTCACATATGAAAACCTTGTGAATCAATAAGAAAAAGGGCAATACAGCAGGAGATAACCACAGCCAAATGTGAACAGGCTGTTTGCAGAAAAAGGAAAAGATTAATGTAACATCTTCCTAAATGCGTGCTCTAGCCATTGAGGAACACTGTGGAGGAAGAACTGGCATTCGGACCCAGGTTCTGTCTACAATGGTTTGTGACAGCACAGATCATACAGCTTCTTTGGGCCACAATTTCCCCACTGGTGAAAGAAGAATGATGATTTGTCTCTGAAAGTTATTTTAAGAATCAAAGCACCAATAGAGCATCTGGACACATTCCACACTGGTACCAATTGCCTCTACATGAAAACACCAATCTAGTGCTCTGCCCTGAGGCCATGGCAGGGCCCTACCTGGATGCTGTAGATGATGTCTCTGAACAGCGGCGAGCGCTGTGTCCAGGCACTCACCAGCTCCACGGCCCGATCAAAGTTTTTGACATACTCGCCATACATCTTGAGGAATGGGGCCAGCTTCTGCAGGATGTCCCCGAACCGAGGGTTCATGTCCCTTTGTGGGGGAGTGAGATCATCAGAGAAACAACTCAGATGAGGGGTCAGAGTGGGACAGGGACCTCACCAGGGGGCTATGAGAGGATGGCCTGACTTGTAGCTCTGTGTGACAGTAGGCAAACTGGTCACCTTGTGCACCTTGTGTGAGCCTTAGTTTCCTTCCTTGTATCACATGGAGTGGAAAAGAGTGTATTATTGGATGGCAAATGAGAGGATCAGATAAAGCACTTCAGCAGTGCAGGTGCAGAACCTTTGCTCAAAAGCAGGTGCTAGTAATGGAAAGCCACTCTCATGATGGGCCACAGTTATCAAGGAGGAACAAATAAATTCTGTTTTACTCCCTAAAATGAGAAAAAATTAGAAGCAGTGGGACAACCCAAGGTTGGCACCATCACAGGAGAGCAGCACTCTCCTGTTATAATGGTTTGGACAGGGATTTAGAAGTTTCAAAAAGCGTAAAAATATATTAATACTCTTTGACCTTAGAACTCTGATGGGTACTTACCCTAAGTAAATTAACAAAAAGAAGAGAAAAGTCACACACACAAAGCCATCCACAGCAATGTTACTAGAAATGTGCACTTGGGATTTCACTCAGAGCCTCCCACCCCCCGTCCCCATTAAGGAAGCAGGCAGGGGCTGAACTCCTGCAGTGTATTGTACCAGGACTGAATGGGCATCTATGCATTAACAGTCTCTCCAGGGCCTGGAGGAGAAAACCTATTTTATAGCTATAAGGACTGTGTCAGCCAGAAGGTCAGCCCAGCCCTGAGCTTTAACCTCATGGTCTTGGGGACACCTGCTCTATAGGGGGAACTTGCCCCTCTAAAGAGCTGCAAATTGACCCAGTGCCTGGCTAAGCCTTGCAAGTGGGGGGACACCCTTTCAATCCAGCCCTGGTCTGGCTGTCCCTAGCCAGGTTGCACCTTGGATGGGCCAAGTTCCTGATGCTCCCGATGCTACAGGAGAACAGTACACTGGCTCAAGCCAGGCCACCAAAGAAGAGAGACAGGGGAGGCCATAAAACAAAGCTGTAGCAATACCCAGAAGAGAGCAGAAAGCACATAAAGTAGAGAACAGCTAGACAGGGGCCATACCTGTGATGTTTTATTATTGTGACTCACAGCTGAGCTAAGAAAGAAGTGGCAGAGGACCAGAAGGGCAGGCCCAAGGGACAGTGGAAGGATCCGTGGTGTATTCTTGAGGGGGGAAATCTAATTTTTTTAAAGAAAAGTTGGAATATACCCTAGGAGGAAAAATGAACCAACTAGCACTTTTTGCTGGCTATTTGGTGCTTGTAGATGTCTAACCCCATTTCAATCCCATGAAGCACTAAGCAAGTATTAAAGTCCCTTTGATTTGCAAATGAAGAAGCTAAGGCTGGGGGACACTAAGTAGCAGTGGAGTGTGCGGGGTCAAGATTGGCCCAGGACCTTGCAGAGGAGCCCAGAGCACCAAGATAGGCCCAAGTGCCTTCCTGGCTCTAGATCATGAAAACTCCAGATACAGAGGCCACTTGGCCAAGGGAAAAACAAAAACAAAAACAAACACTGTGACAAAATCACCAGGACCCTCAACCATCAACTCTGTTGAAGCCAAACTCCCTGGGAGACACTCAGCCCCTATTTCCCACGTGCTGTGAACCACACTCACCATTCCTCTGTGATCCTTGTCTGCAGCTCAGGCAGGAGGAACTGCCCATGGAAGCGATAGATGGAGGAGATGTTAGAGAAGATGCCTGTAGTGACTTCCAGAGGGATCCCTGCTTCTATCAGCTGGGTGCAGAAAACCTGGGCACACAATGGTCACTGAGGGTGGGTCACCATGGATGGGATCATGTTTCTTCTGGGGGTATGGGTGCCCAGGAGAGGCTGTGACCACCTCCTCTGTCCTTAACAAACCTCCCATTTCATCAAAGTGGCTCAAACGACCTTATGGTCTTAAAGCAAGCTTACTTATGGCTAAGGACTGGGGGTGAGACAAGGACAGTCCCCTGTCCCACTGCCCGCAGTTGGGGATAGGCTGTCTTTCCTTCATCCACCTCTCATGGGAAATAGAAGTTCCCAATTTTTTTCTCTGCTTGTGAGCTACCAAGATTACTTTGGAGTTACCTCCTGTGCTCATAAACCCCATGTTGCCACATGCCCAGAAAAAGTGTCGCCCACAGTCCCAATTATTTATGCAGAAAGATGTCCAGACACCATTTACATGCTCATATAATGTGACTGTCAGTAATAAAGGCCTCCAAGGGGACCAGACAAGACCTTTGCCCCAGCTCTGAAAGAAAAAAGCATAAGTTTCTGGAAGATACTTAAAATTGTCTGAGTTTTTAGTATAGTCATTTGTATTCCAAATATAAGGCCTAGCCAGTGCTAAGATAGGGAGTTTGCCTGTGAAATTGCCCACTGAAACTCTGGAATTAGACAAAGGCATGCCCCAATCAGGAGGGCTACCTGGTCTAGCAGGTGCAGCCGCCTCACGTAGGTCTCCTCGGTGTGCAGGAGCTCCTGGGCAATGTGGAGCAGCTCCTGGGACTTAGAGCA